CCCCAAAACCCCAAAACCCCAAAACCCCAAAACCCCGAATCATTAAGTACCCCTTGAAAATTTCAGGAAATATAACAAGCTGTTCTTCTAACAATTATTTTATTGACCATTATTCCTACTCGGAGACTTTACTGGAGTCGGTTGCTTCAGCTTGGATTCCTTCTTTGCTGGTGTAATAGTGTTTTCTAGGACTATTCCTTGGCATAGAAGCATTGATAGCACATTTTCGTCTGCTGTGTCTAAACTTATTGTACAGAAGTCTTACCTAAGAACACGTCTTCTTGAGAGTCTTGATCAAGAAGAACCTCGTTCTCCATCTTGACTCTGTCAAATATTATTTTAGCTTCATCCAGCTGCTCCAGTAGTTGAGGTATTTCTAGTGTCTTTTCGTTTAACTCTTCAATTTTGGATTCTAAAATAAGCTCTGAAGGATACCTTTGGCTTTGATGCCAAGCTTGAGCATCTGGATTTGGTCTTCTTTGCTATCTCTTTCAAGCTGACACTTCTTCAGCTCTTCTTGAATCTTTTTAAGTTTATTTGTCTAAAATTGTAAGTCTTTTGCTGAAAAAATTGACACTTACCTTGCGCACCTTCTTAACAGGTGACTGGTTTAGTTCAGTCAAAGTAATATTGGTCTTTTCTCCTGAGTCAAGTGCTGAGTGAGCCTTTGTCCTACTACTCATGATCTAGGAGTTACGAGCCAGAATACCTTTGGAATCTCCAAAGAAGTTATTATAGGTACTTCTTTGGGATGGAGTCCAGCTCCATGGCTGTACTCTACCAGCATGTTCTGCTCAATTGAGAGTTTCTCATCCTCAAGAGTCAGAATTTCTGAAGCAATCTCATCTGCTATAACTGGAGGGTTCCTTTCTCTAAAATAAAAGATAAGGATATCGAGATTATATTAAAGAAGTGCATTAAAGAAACGGAAAGATTTAAAATAAAAAATCTTCGATCTATAACTAAAAGTCTTTAGGTACATGCGATATTCAGCCAAATTTTATAGAATGAAGCTACATTACCATAAACCTTATAACACCCCCTATCCAATTTCACCAGAAAACTATGTCCTCCAACTCTCCATAAATGTCCCTATCCATCACCTCACAACCCCAAATCACAAAAAGTATCCCCTCTCCCCCTCCAAAATCCACTTATACCCCATCCCCCCAAAACCTACAACAAATCCTTCACAATCAAGAACTGGGTCGGAATCTCCGCTGTTCCATGCAAGCCAAAAATATTTGATATGTTATTTGAGCATTTCAAGAGTGTAGGAATACTTCTTGTACACATCAAGGTCTTTTTGGACTCTGAATTGGAACTGTCTGTAGACCAACTCTAGCTCTTTGTCGAGATCTTTGGCTTTACATTCTAAGTGATCTAAATTGTGAGGACCAGGAGTGTACCAAGCTGACCAAGACATTCTTTGAATGAAACTTTTCCATCTTTCTGTTGGATTATTAAGGAAATTTACCTGGATGTTAAGTCTACGGAGCTCATTATTTTTCTTCTCAAGTTCTAATCTGTCAGACTCAAGATTGACCTTGATAGTTTTGAGGTTAGCATTTTCCTTTTTCTGGCATTCGTAACTAACCGTTAATTCATGAACCGTTGCTTGTAACTTTCTGTTAGTTTCATCCTTTTGGTCGAGTTCTCTCTTATGACGATCAATGATTCTTTTGTAGTCTGAATATATTTATTTGGGTGATATACCTTCAAAGCTATTTTGACGTTGTTCGAAGTCCCCTATTTCTAACTGCATGCGCTTCTTATCAGCTCTTAGCATGAAGACTTCTCTTTCGTACCGTTGGATCTCATTCATCAGTTCTAGAACTCTTTCTCTAGAGTGGTTCAGTTCTTGCTTATATTTTCCAACTGTATCATTAGCCTCGTTTTCTAAAGATTATTGGAGAAATTACTGATAACCTGGAGCTCCTTTACATATCCTCTGTTCCTGTCCTGACTGGTGTTGAAGTCAATTTTCTCAACTGCTTCGCTAACATTTGCGGATAATTCAAGATTTTCCCGACTCATTTTATAGAATAAGCGGGAAGAGAGATCTCTACAGCTTTATTTACTGGTATTTACTTATACTCTTCTTTGCATTTCTGAAGGGATGATTTGAGCATTTCCACCTTAGTGTCTCTGCTATGGACCTTATCAACGTAATTTTTAAGTTTTCTATATAGCTATTAACTTACAAAGTTACTTCTGGCATTCCTCAAGACGTTCCTTGAACTTGTCTTTCTCGTCCTTCAGCTTTTTGCTGGACTGGCTTAATTTATTTGTACTCGAGATTTTTGGAAAATAAGTTAAGTTTTAACTTCTGTATTTCTTGGTTCCTTGCCAAGATGGTCTTCTTAAGGGAAGATCATTCTTCAATTCTGAGCTTATACTGGGTTTTGATTGTGTCATCTACCTCTGGAAACTCCTGCTTTGAGGGATCCGTTTGGCTCCCAACTTCTTGTGTACACGAATTAGTACTACTGGGTTGATGATCATTAATATAATCAACCAGTTTAAAGACAAGATGCTTGTATTTCTTCTCCAAAGTAGACCATCAGCTTTGGACTGATTTTAATTGATCAAAAATCCATTTTTCGCATTCTATATAGGAATTGAGCCAGTTTAGGTGAAATGAAAATTATTAACAATCGTATCATCTTAGACAATTCTAAAACAGAATTCAGTCTTCTAAAGCCAATCTAAAACAGTCCGAGTCCTGATGTAGTACGATAACTTACCGAGATGGTCTTTCGGGAGATCTTGAATGTCAATTTTGAAGTCCTTGAGCAACTGGACTTTCTCTTCCTCTATTGTCTCCATTTTTTGCTTAAAATTTATAATTTTCTAATTCATCTTAGGAAGTATGATGAGGGGTTTTGGGGTTTTGGGGTTTTGGGGTTTTGGGG